GATTTCATCTCTTATTGTCCTTTTATGGAATCTCACATGTACCTCTCTAGGAAGTTCATTCTGTAGGCCACATCCATCTCATGATGAACTTCATCGATATCTTCTGTGTCCATGTATTTTGCAAGTGTTTGTGCCATTTCACTTTTTAAATTTTCATTATCTTTCTCTGGAATGTTTTGAAATCTCAAAATATAGGCTGCCTTGTCAAGTTCCAGTTTCATCAGAGTATCTTCCATAGAGGTTTGTTTAGATTTTACTGTTTCTAGTTTAAGCTCCATTTCTTCTGATTTATTTCCCACTTTGTTAGTTTAGTCAAATCTGAAATTTCTTGACTATTTGAAGTTGTTTCTGGACCTCTTCCATCTGATGTGTCATTTGTTGTACAAGAGAGTCTGTTTTATTTTGTATAGGGTCAACTGCTGTTGTTACTGCTGTTGTTACAGCTGATGTTACTGCCTCTTGAATTAATGCTTGTAAGTCTTTTGTTGAAATTTGTGCTAAGTTAGCACCTACAGATTTACCTTGCCCTGGAGATGGAGCACCAGGAAGCTTTCCCCCTCCCCCCATGCCACTAGACATGTTCAACTTTTATGTTAAGACCAAAGAATCTCTTAAAACAGCTTCCCACCAAATACTTTTAAATTGAAACAGTTTTCTATATTTCCAAAACAGTTATTATTATTGATAACCTACAAACAGAAAAGAAACCTCTTGCCATCTTATTCAGACAAAGCTATCACTTCTTTACAATACTGTTAGAACAAAGCGTACTTTGATAGATACAGCATATAAAGACATAACAATACCAGATTAAAATTTACACCATACAGAAAGTGACATTTGAAAAGTGAAGCGGAGTTTCAGGTAGTTCACCAATTCTTTTTTCCTTCTTTCTTCTCTTCTTATCCAAGGCAGTAAATGAACATCTGTCTTTACTTTGTTATCCATATAGTGTTAAAATATATTTAATTGTAATCCATTAGGGAATCTTTGTGCAGTTCATACAGTTCCAAATTGTAAATTGTAAATCCAAAGAGGAGAAAGCTTCAGAACAATAAAACTTATTCCAATAGGAGGGAAACCAATTTTCCAAATAGTTCAATATTATAATCCACTGTCTGTTGTTGCAGAACCAATGGATCTGTTAAACAGTTCATTCTCAGGCATCAACCATATCTCTTTTTTAGCCCACAGTATTATTTAAAAGGCTCCCTTTACGTTTCTTTTCCAAGCTGCTTCAGGGGAGAAGGTGGGGGGGGGGATCCCTTGACCCAACTCCTCTTCTTAGCTTTCTAGTTAAAAAGTTAAAAGGGCTAAAAACTTTTAGAGAAGCTTGTTGCATTCAAAGTACTCACAGTGTGGAAATCCTTGTTGAATTACTTGCACAGGGTTCGCCGTTTCCCCCCTTGTCCCGGTAGTCACGGCTCTGCTGCTACGGCTGCCACAGAAGCTCTCGCCTGGGTTTTGCTTCAGGGCGGCTCTGGACTCAATCTGCTCACTGCCACTTGCGGAGAGTCCAGAGTCAAGCCCCCGGTGATCTGGCAGACTACTCAGGAGCAAGCCCTGGAGCCAACCGCTGCCACAGTGCCGAAAACCGGAAGTCATTTCTGCATGATGTCATCATGTTGGGGATGTTGTGCAGGGGCGGGGCTCTTGGGGGCGGGGCTTTCCCAGCCAGCTGGCTGGCAGTGGGCAGAAACCTGCAAAATCAGGGGATTCCCCGCTCCCACCTGGGGGTTGGCAACCCTACAGCCTCCCGATGGGCCCTGGGGATCTCCTGGAATTACAGCTCGTCTTCAGACTATATTCTCCCCTGGAGAAAATGGATGCTTTGGAGGGTGGACTCCGTGGCCTTGTACCCCACTGTCATGGGTCCTGGCTCCGCTGAGGCTGACTATTCCTCAGATGAGGAAGAGGCATGGAGCAGCCCAGCCTCCTCTGGAGTCAGCTCAGAAGAGGAACCTTTACCAGCACCTGAGGGAGAAGAGGCCCCAGCGTCTGCGCAGGAGGGGCAGCAAGTCGAAGAGACTGAGTTGCAGTCAGAGGGAGGGTCTGGTCCACAGTTGGAGACACCTCGAGGCCAGAATCCCCCCCTAGCTCACCTGAATGTCCCAGACACAGGGCATGCCAGCACCTGAATGCGCAAGAGAGAAGGAGTGCCAAACTTCAGCTGTTGCAAAGGCAACGTGAGGGGCTGTGAGTCTTTGCAGGTTGCCTCCCAGGGAAGGGAGGCTCCGGTCATAAGCAAGTACGCTCACCTGCCTCAGTGCTGATGCAACCGTGTGATCTTGGACCTTTTCCCGGGTGCCAGCCTACTACCTGATCCTTTTAAATGGAGATGCCAGGGATTGAACCTTGGACTGGGGCCTTTTTTCTGTGGTGTCCCCTAGAAGTGTACTGAGTTGATTAAGGCTGTTCCCATGTGGGGATATTCCCTATTGTGTACAGAGATCCGAGGGCAGGTCTCAATCTTTGTGTGTGTGTGTTTTTCCCTTTTGTGCAGGGAAAAACCACATAGGGTGGCTTTTAGTAGAACAGTGGAAGGGGATAGTTATACATACAACCCTGTTCCTCTCTTGATCCATGTTCCGTCTTTTAATAGCAGCACCTGTAGCTGCCTTCCATTTTTTAAAAAAAAAATCAGGAAAAATGATTGCAGAACTACACCTAGGGTATAGTTCTGCCCTCAGTGTGACTGGGAACAAAGAGATTTCCCACACGTCATGCGTCAAGCTTTCATTGTCTTTGCCAGATGCAATGCTGGTCTTCCATCTACCCTGACCTGGGATTTACCCCCAGGCAGCCGTGGGGACCCACTGACCAGCAAGTTTATGGCATCATCGCCATGTCAGAGAGAGAGAGAGCAGGCGCCAGAGCATCCAAAGCTGCCCGTGCTAAACGGAGTCCTCTACCATCTTGCTGTCCTACTCCTTTTGCCAGCAGTAGTGTGAAGACAGACGGGGGGCATGGCTTCCTATACGTGGTCCTTAGCTAGGGTTGCCAGACCCCCTGGTGGAGGCAGGGGTCCCCCACTGGCTGGTCCCATCTTGGTGGAGGCAGGGGTCCCCCACTGCCTGGTCTCATCTCCCCGCTGCTGATCAGCTGGCCGGCAAGGGGGGGGGGAACTTGTCCCAAAAAAGAGAAGAAGAAGAGATTGGATTTATACCCCGCTCTTCACTTGGAGTCTCAGAGCGGCTTACAATCTCCTTCCCTTCCTCTCCCCACAATGGACACCTTGTGAAGTACGTGGGGCTGAGAGAGCTCTTTGGAGAACTTCTCTTGAGAGAACAGCTCTGAGAGAACTTGTGACTGACCCAAGATCACCCAGCTGGCTTCACATGGAAGAGTGGGGAATCAAACCCAGTTCTCCAGAGTAGAGTCTGCCGCTCTTAACCACTGCACCAAACAGAGATTCATCTGATGTGCAGCAACGTGTGTACGTCACTGCCCATGTGACCCGAAAGTGACATCATCACATCTGGGATGTCAGGGCGACACTCTGGTATTTGAACAAAAAATCTATGGTAGAAGCTAAATTTACCATAGAGTTTTGCCCAAATACCAGAGTGTCACCTGAACGTACCGGATGTGATTACATCACTTCCTGGTCATGTGGGCAGTAATGTGGACAGGCTGTACGCTGGATGGGCCTCCCTGCTGCTCCCAGTAAGTCCCCCCATCCCCTGCCTGTTGCCAGGAGAGTCCCGGCAACCCTACCCTTAGCAGCTGGTCCTTCAACAAACAAGAACATAAGAGACGCCAGTCTTGGATCAGGCCCACGCCAAAGCCCCATCCAGTCCAACACTCTGTCACACAGTGGCCAAAAATACCAGGTGTCATCAAGAGGTCCAGCAGTGGGGCCAGGACATTAGAAGCCCTCCCACTGTTGACCCCCTCAAGCACCAAGAAGACAGAGCATCACTTGCCCCAGAGCCCCTATCTATACCTTGTGGCTGATAGCCACTGATGGACCTCTGCTCCATATGCTTATCTAATTCCCTTTTGAAGCCGTCCATGCTTGTAGCCGCCACCACTTCCTGTGGCCGTGAATTCCATGTGTGAATCACTCTTTGGGTGAAGAAGTACTTCCTTTTATCCGTTCTAACCCGACTGCTCAGTAATTTCATGGAGTGCCCACGAGTTCTTGTATTGTGAGAAAGGGAGAAAAGTACCTCTTTCTCTACCTGCTCTATCCCATGCATAATATTATAAACCTCAATCATGTCACCCCTCAGTCGTCGTTTCTCCTGCTAAAGAGCCCTAAGCGCCTTTACCTTTCCTCATAGGGAAAGTGTTCCAACCCTTTTATCCGAGTTGCCCTTTTCTGCACTTTTTCCAAAGCTATAATATCCTTTTTAAGGTGTGGTGACCAGAACTGCACACAGTAATTTTGCAGCTCTTTCTAGAGGCTGCCAGCTCTCCCGTTATACCAGGAGTGTCCTCCCCTGCCCTGAGCCCTCCCCCCCCCCCCCCAAACCCTGCTCACTAAGGCAGTGGGGGAATGGGAGGAAACCAGTGTTGCTGCAACATCGCTTCCCACTTGAACCCAGAAGTGACTTCACCATGTCAGCCATTGTGAAGCTCTAGGATTCCTCCGAAGCTCTATAATGAAAACCTAGGAATCCTAGAGCGCCATGCTGATGCAGTGACATCACATCTGGGTTTGTGCCCAAAGTGAACATGCGGCATTGGCACAACAATGATTTTATATTTTTCTCTCGCTGGTTACCAGTGCTGGACTTGGCAACCCATGGTGGGGGGCGCGGAAGAACACCGGGATAAGAGGTTCCGCCATGCTCATGTGAAGGAAGAATTTACTGACATTGTATCATGGCACAGCATGGATTCCAGAACAGAATAATGCAGATGGGGCCTAGTATAGCCAGAAGATACTGGGCCAGGGTTCTTTCCTGGATTTTGCTGGCGGAGGGTGGGGGTGGGCTCTGTTATCTAGGTGGCCAAGGAAGAAAAAATAGTCCTAGCAAAGTTGTGTGTTTCAGGAACGGAAGGGAAGGCCGGAATGGCAGCCATCGTCGACCCAGACCACTCCTATGACCTGGTGACCTTTGCGGAAGAAATGAAGAAGGAGCTACCTGCGTATGCCCGACCTATTTTCCTGCGACTGCTTCCAGAAGTGCATAAGACAAGTGAGTTCCTTTGTGGAGAGAGGGGTGCTTTAGGGCAGGGGTCCCCAACCTTTCTGAGCCTGCGGGGGGGGGGTCACATTTGGAACTCTGACACGGCACGGTGGGCGCGGAAACAAAATGGCTGACACTGAACGGCTGCCAGGAGGCGGAGACAGCCGGAAAGCGATGGCACCAGTTTAACTTTGGTAGCGCAGTGAAGATCCTTGCACTGCGGTACCAGCTGGTGCTAAAGCAAGATTTTAAAAGAATCTGTCCAGCCAATCAAATCTCCAGTAGTCCATCAGAAGCCTTGCTGGGCGAAAGCCCTACCTGGCCCCAACCACTTCCTAGAAACACTTGGCATCCACGGGTGACACATTGGGGCCCCCCTGCTATGGGGTTTGTTTGTTCCAATAGACTCAGACGGATTTCCCATCTGGCGCTGCTTCGTCCTCGCTCTTCCTCTCCCCCCGATTCTACGTGTCAATTTCCCACTACTTGCTGCGCGGCCACATTTTGCCCTGCAGCTTCACCCGATTTCCCCCGCGAAGACGCGGGGGAAATCGGGTGAAGCTGCGGGGCGAAATGCAGCCACGCAGTAAGTAGTGGGAAATTGTCACGTAGAATCGGGGGTGGGGGGGAGGAAGAGCAAGGACGGAGCAGCACCTGGTGGGAAATCGGTCTCACTTTAGGGCCTGCCATCATGATGAAGAAGGGAAGGGGGGGATTGGAATGCCTTGACGCTCCTTATTTCCCTTCTTCCCCTGCCCTTTGTGACACAGGCACCTTCAAGTTCCAGAAAACGGAGCTGCGCAAGGAAGGCTACAACATCTCTGTGGTGAAGGACAAGTTGTATTACCTGGAGCCGAGGCGATGCCGGTACCTTCCGTTGACCGAGGAGGTCTACAAGAGGATCCAGTTGGGACTGGAGAAACTGTAAACCAGCCGCTGCTCTTCTTGTGGCTTCAGTGCCTCCTCCTGAGGTGGGAGAGGACGCGGAACGCCAGAAAGGGTTAAAAAATTAAGGAAAAAGGCACAGTACATGAGTTTTTTAAACCACAAAAAAAACCATTCATCAAGTTTTACAGAGGACCATGACATACGATTTAGGGAGATAGCGGACGGAGAAGGTTGCATACCAAAGCATAAAAAAAAAGATTACGGCTTTATTTTCTGTTTCATGTAAATGGTGACCGTTGGGATGGGTGAGGTGGGATGGTGGGGGGGAGCATGGCATTTCCCATCCCACTGGGATGAGTGCGGTGGGGGGTCAGTCTGCCCTCTTCCTGGTTTGACCCCCAAAGCCAGGGAGACCAGCAAGGGCTGTGCTGATTTGTGGTGCCTCTAGGGGGCACTGTGGTGCTTTCTTTCCCTCCCAATCAGGCAGTTGTGGCTGAAACTTGGATAGCTTGTTGAAAGCTTATCCAAATGTTTTCCAAGGGCCATCCTGGGAAAACCAAAAAAGAATTTTAAAAAAGTTGTGGATTCTTTTTTGATGGGAAGGTTTGTCTCCTTCCCGTTGGCTGCTAAAATGTTATCACTAACGTGGACTGGGTGGGAAGGGGGTGGGGATGATGGGAACATTTGTCTGCCATGACTTGACCAGGTTTTTTTTCCCCCAGGGATTTTCCCACCCTGTTTTCACAGTTGGACTATTTTTTTATTCTGCCAGTGTGTTATAATTTATTGCTTTTTTTAAAAAGAAATGATCCACTGCAAGATAAGTACAAACTGGCTGGATTTCTTCATCCGGTTCTGTTGTCTTGCTGGCAGCACCTGATTTGCGTCTGTTGTACGTAAACACGGCTGTCTTCATTCCGCTGCTTCCTATGGAGGGCCTTTTTAGAAGGTCAGAGGCAAAAGGTGTTTCTGTGGTCAGTTCTTGAGAACTGCACGCTCAGCAACTGTGTCCCCCCTGGAAACTCACCCCCTTCTATAAGTGTTCCTCGCTGACGCTTAAGCCTCCTGGGCTTTCTGAAAGGTGAAGACTTGTGCATTTAAAAAAAATAATTAAATGTTCCTCAATGATTTGCCAGAGCACAGATTAAAGTGTATGTCCACACTAGTGCTTCCACTGGTGCGGTTGTTGCACAGTGTGTTTTCTGCATATCTGCGCTGTACACCACTTATGAACTGGAAGATCCAGGCAAGAGCTAGGGGTTGAGAGCTCCAGGTTGGGGTGGCTAGGTAGAATAGAGTAGGGGTCCCCAACCATGGGGCCCACTGACAGCTTTCCTGGGCCCCGCCAAGGGTTTTCAGGAAGTGGGTGGGGCCAGGTAGGGCTTTTGTCCAGCAAGGCTTCTGATTGGCTGTGCAGATTTTTTAAATAAATGTTCCCTTGGCGGCAGCCGCCACCGCAGCAGAAGGATCTACTCTGTGTTACTGCCGTTAAGCTTGGCAATCATTTTGTGGCTGGGTCCGCCTCCCGTGGCAGCCATTTTGCACCAGCCATTTTGTTGCTGCGCCCACCATGCCACGGCAGAATTCCAGATGTGCCCACAGGCTCAAAAATGTTGGGGACCCCTGGAATAGAGTGTGTGGTTCCTGTATCTTTGAAAGACTTTAAGGTCCTTTCCGCGCTTGGATCTCATCCCTGGTTTTGCCAGAGTTCAACTCGCAACTCAGTGCCTTGCCTTTCCCCCTGGTTATAACAGCATCTGTTTATCCTGGGACAAGTGTGGGGGCGAAACCGGGGTGACCTCAATGTAATGTGGAAACAAAAAGTACCCCAAGATCAATGCTCTCTCTAAGCTGTGGAGTCTTGTGAGCAAAAATGCTACTTTGTGAGCTACTGGCATTAAAGTTGTGAGCGAGCGATTTGGCTACTGCATAAATTAGTTTGCTCTGGAACCATCCTTCTTGGGCTAAGACAAAAATGTGTGAGCCAGAGGCTAAAAAACCGCAAGCTAGCTCACACTAACTCAGCTTAGAGGGAACACTGCCCGAGATAATTACAGGGGTGAACTCGAGTGTAGTGTAGAATGTGTTCGGGGACAGGGTTGAACCAGGATTTAAGGTCTAATGCAGAAAGGACCTAAGAGTCTATCAAGGACAGCTTTGCTTGCAGAAGATCCCGAGTTTAGTCCCTGGCACCTGCAACAAAAAGAGATCTCTGAGAACAGGAATGGGAAAGACCTTGAAAAGCTGTTTGCCAGACAGTGTTGGTAGTAATGGACTAGATTCACTGATGGTCTGATCCAGTGCAAAGCTGTCCCAGTGCTGGCCAGCCACACAAAACGTATGCCGACCTGCTCTACAGGTAATAAGAGCAGAAGACAAGGTAGCATCCGGGAGGGCGCATGGTAATAAAGGCGCCATCTTGGATGCACACGTCATGGGGGCCAATGACCTATTTAAGGAATTTTAACCTTATTAACTGGTTAATCAACTAGATATAAATATTAAATGTGCTCTGGGCACAGATGATTCAGTCTTGGGGCAATATGGAATGCCCCCTGGATTCTATGATTCTGTGTCTTCCCTGGAAGCAAGTACAAGTAGTAAACTCGTCCTACATCCTTGTTTATAGATATGGAAATGGAATTACAAGAACCCTCCTGGGACTAAAAAAAAAAAAGGAGGGCAGGAAACACGGCATAGCTCATTCATAGCTCCCCCCCCCAAAAAAAAAATCCTGGAAGTGTAACTTCATACTTGATCCAGATGGTGCATGTTCAGTTCTTCTGTTATGTGCACTGTTTGCACGCACTTGTAGTGTTCTTGCCCATTTGGGAAGGCCCATGGCTGAGAGCACATGCATTGCACTCCAAAAGAAAGAATTAGGCAACTTGGGTTAACGGGGCTGGGAAAGGCCTCTTGCTGAGACCTTGAGGAGCCACCACATGCCATGGTACCGGCAATACTTGGCTTGATGGAACGATGGATTGAGTTCGCAAGACACAGTTCCTTCCGTTTTTAATGCAGTTGCTTTGTGTGAAAGAGAATCTTAGAACTAGGGCTGATGGGCAGTCAGTGGTCTTGGAACCTAGCCCCGTGCCTCAAGGCGCTTTTGTTTGACCTCCTTTTCGGGGCCTCAAAGGAAGAAACTTCGGCAGCTTCTTCTGCTACCAAGACGTTTTTAGGAAAATGTTTAATATATAAGCTATTGCCAAGGAGTTGTCTTCTGTTTTGTGGGTGGGTGGGGATATTTTCAGTCAGAAAGGCACAACGTTTAAAGTCAGACATGATGTTCTAGGGTTGGGTCAGTTTGTCACCTCAGATATCCGTCTCCAGAATGCACAGTTGTGGTGACTTGTCCCCTACCGTAGGACGGAATAGTTGCTCCTCTGACAGGGTTCTCCAAGGACGTGGAACTTTGGCAATTGGGTTGGTCCTGCAGAGCAGAAATGATAGCATAAACAAAATGGCGGTTGGATGAGAAGACCATTGAGTACTGAACAGCTGAAGAAGAGTTCTCTGTTACTCACTTCCTGTGTTCTAAAACAGTAGCTGGGTTCGATGATCCATGTTTAAGGAAGGGTAAGCACAGCTTCACAGTTGCTTGAAGAGGTCTTCGCAGAACCCAAGGCTCCATTTTGTGTGTGGCTTCCGAAGCAAGCTACAAATTGACCAACAGTTGCCAACCTCAGGGTCCAACCTGTAGTTTAGGAGTGCTTCGTTTCTCTTCAGGGCCAAACTCTATGTGAGTGTACAATTATCTGTATTTTTCTACCCATGGGACAAATAGCTTGAAGGAAGGGGAGGAGTTGTGTCGGGAAGACTCCTTTTCAGTCAGTGTTGTGGCCCCAATCCAATTGGGGCAGGGGGCTTTCCCCTTTTTATAAATTGTGGGAGATCCTAATTGTGTTTTGCACATTTCACATCTACTTTGTCCTTCCAGGCCTCTAAAGGAAGGAATGAGATCTTGTGGTGAGGGATCAGAATCAAGAGGGAAAGCTCTTTTTTCCCCCGCTTGGCTTTCCCGCCATTTTGCTCTGCCCTCTTCCTCCATATCTGTCAGGCTACGTGCTGAGTGGGCCACACTCAGCCTTAGGATCTGTCAGATGAGCTCCTCTCTTACTCTTGATTCACACACTTTAAAGTCTACAGGTTGGGTCTGAGGTCCCTACCCTGTTTAACAGTCAGATGTTACCACACACAGGGTGCCTGATTTCAGGCTGGTGCTGTGGAGAAAGGGTTCTAGTATTCCCCCTCATGACCTTTGCCTGACCTAAAAAGGGACTGGGAAGGAAAGCCCTGCTTGGCCCCTTGGGGAAACATGTCTTCCCGATGGGACGCACAGCAACACCCTCTAGACCTTTTCTGGTTGGGAGAGCCCTTTCTTCAGCACGCCACAGTCCTAATCCAAATCATCCCTCAGGCATGTGGGAAGGGAGGAACCCCACAACTCATGTCTGACTTGGTAGGGATCCCATACCCAACCAGTACGCTCTGTCATGTGTGAACTGGCAGCCTGCACGAACGCATACACCTAAGCCCCTCCGCAAGCTCTCCTGTCTCTTCCGCGTTTGACTCCAGCAGTTAGATGGCAGGGAATTAGCCTTTCTCAACCAAAGGGCTAGATTTAGGCTTCCCAAGTCCCCCCGGGGGGTGGGGAAACCCCCGCCCCAGAGGCCCGTTCCCCACCGCTGCCGGATCGGGCCCTGGGGGGAACTCCTCCCCGATGTGCACGTCACCCGGAAGTGACGTGGGCACGCTGGGGGCGGGGCCACGGCCACCAGAGGGACAACTGTATGGTTTTCCCTCCTATGGCTGTGGCCCCGCCCCCAGCGTGCCTGGCGTCATCATGTCACTTCCGGGTGACGTGCATGCGGCGTGTGTGCGCACGCAACTGACGCCGGCCGGGAGCCCCCCGCTCCCGGCGAAGATCCACTTGGCAACCCTAGCTAGATTAGAGTCCAGTCAGGGTTCTCTCTAAGCTGAGCTATTGTGAGCTAGCTCACAGTTCCTTAGTCTCTGGCTCGCCCATTTTTGCCTTGGCTCAGGAAGGGATGGCTCCAGAGCAAACTAGTTTATGCAGTAGCCAAATCACTCACTCGCAACTTTATTGCCAGGAGTTCACAAAGTAGAATTTTTGCTCACAGGACGCCACAGCTTAGAGGGAGCTTTGAGACCAGCAGCACATTCGGGACCAAAAAGAATTTCTGGATATAAGCTTTAGAGACAGTCAAAGCTCCCTTGGTCAGACACAAGTCTGGAGGGACTCGGGTGCTCCTGGACGTGAGTCCAGTTGTCCTCCTGCAGGCCAAGACAGCTGCCCTCTGGAACTCTCTCGACCAATCAGATGATGTAGCACAAGGGGCCTGCCCTTGTCTGAAATGACTCTGGGGCGGGAGGGTGGCCCGAAGGGTTCCGCAGAGGTGCAAACGAATCCCCGCTGTGTTCGCGAGAATGTAGGAGAACAGATCGGCCTGGAAAGCTCCAGCTGCCTTACGAGGTAGGGACCAGAGACTTACGTGAAGACACAAGTAAGGGGAGGGGCTGTGGCTCCGTGGTAGAGCATCTCCTTGGCATGCGGAAGGTCCTGCGTTCCATCCCCGGCATCTCCAGTTAAAAGGACCGGGCGGTGGGTGATGGGAAACCTCTGCTTGAGACCCTGGAGAGCCGCTGCCGGTCTGTGTAGACAATAGTGGTCTGATCAGGGGTCATTTCGTAGGAAAAGAGGTGCAGGAGCTCATTAGCATAACTCATTAGCATAACTTATTTGCATATGCCACACACCCTGACGTCACCGGAAGTGCGTCAGAAGACAACACCCACCGTTCAGGCTCCACTGGACTGTTTTGGATTGCTAGCTATTGGGGGGGGGGGGACGTGCAGATCTGCCCTCGCAGAGGAGGGAGAGCTGGTACCTGAATAAAACTTGGTCTTAAAGGTGCCACTAGACTGTT